GAGCCCGAAACGGATAGCGACCCCCCCCCCAGCGCGCCCACTTGTGGCGTCGAGGATGTGCCACGCCTGCCACGCTTTGCGAACCCGAAACGGATAGCGACCCCATCCCCAGCGCGCCCTCTGTGGTGTCGAGGATGCGCCACGCCTGCCACGCTTTGCGAGCCCGAAACGGATAGCGACCCCACCCCCAGCGCGCCCCCTGTGGTGTCGAGGATTGTTACCACGCCCGCAGCTTTGCTACCCGAAAAGGATAGCGACCCCCCCCCCCAACGCGCCCCCCGTGGTGTCAAGGATGCGCCACGCCTGCCACGCTTTGCGAACCCGAAACGGATAGCGACCCCACCCCCAGCGCGCCCCCTGTGGTGTCGAGGATGTGCACCCTCTCTGCTGTCGAGAGAGTGCCACCCCTGCCACGCTCTCCGACCCTGGCACGCATAGGGACCGCGCTGAGGGACCCACCCCTGCGCACCCTCGCCGGTGTCGAGAAAATGCCACCCCTGCCACGCTCTGCCGTGCCGTGCCCTGCGCGCCTGCCCTGTGTGCTATGCTATGCTGAGCTGTGCTGTGATGTGCTGTGCAGTGCCGAGCTGAGCTGAGCTGACCTGTGCTGTGCTGCGCTGTGCTGTGATGTGTTGTGCTGTGCTGCGTTGAGATGTGCTGTGTTGTGATGTGCTGTGCTGTGCTGTGCTGTGCTGTGCTGCGCTGTGCTGTGCTGTGCTGTGCTGCGCTGTGTGAGAAGGAGAGAGAGGTGAGGTGTGAGTGTCGCGGGTGCGGCGCGGCAAGGGAGGGGAGGTGTGCGTGCGTGCGTGTGCGTGTGCGTGTGCGTGTGCGTGTGCGTGTGCGTGTGCGTGTGCGTGTGCGTGATGATGCTGGTGTGAGTGTGCGGAGTGTGAGTGTTGTGCGTGTGCGCCGTGCGCGTGAGTGCGAGTTGCGTGTGCGCGTGCGCGCGCGCGTGAGCGTGAATGTCAAGGAGTTTGGGGTTTGTGTTGGTTGAGTAAGGAGAGTGAGTGGTGGTGCGCGTCCGCACTGTGCGTGTGCGCGTGCGTGCGATGTCGTGCGTGCGCGTGTGCGTGTGCGTGTGCGTGTGCGTGTGCGTGTGAGTAGTGCATGTGCTGTAGTGCGTGGCGATGTGCGTGGAGCGTGTGCGTGTGCTGTTTGCGGTGCGTGGCGTCGGCGGTGTGCGTCTGCGTGTGCGTGTGCGTGTGCGTGTGCGTGTGCGTGTGCGTGTGCGTGTGCGTGTGCGCGTGTGTGTGTGTGTGTGTGTGTGTGTGTGAGAGAGAGGAGACGCGGGTGCGACGCGGCAGAGAAGAAAACCATAACCCCACGAAACATGTGGGGAACAAAACATTGATTTCCCTTAGGTTGTGGAAGGATTTTGGCCTCAAGCAGGGCCTCCGAGGCGATTCGAGGCACTCTAGAGGGGCAGCGCTAATATACGACCCCCCCTTCTTTAATAGATCGCCTCCAAGATGGCCCCAAGAGCGCCCCAAAAGGGCCCCAAGAGGCCCCACGAGGCCCCCTAAGAGGCCTCCAAGAGGCCCCCAAAAGACCCGCAAGAGGCCACAAGAGGCTCCCCGGTATACGCAAAAGACCCCTGGGACCGCCAAGAGGTCCCAAAGACGGCCCAAGAGGCCCCCAAGCTCGCCATTGTCCTCCTCCTCCTCCTCTTTTCTTCCTCCTCCCTCCTCTTCCTCCCCCTCCTCCTCCTACTCCTCCTCCACCACCTCCACCTCCACCTCCTCCTCCTCCTCCTCCTCCTCCTCCTCCTCCTCCTCCTCCTCCTCCTGTTCCTCCTCCTGTTCCTCCTCGTCTTCGCAGTCCTCCATCTCCTCCTCCTCCTCCTCCTCCTCCTCCTCCTCCTCCTCCTCCTGCTCCTCCTCCTCCCCCTCCTGTCCCTGATCCTCCTCCTGCTCCTCCTCTTCCTCCTCCTACTCCGACGACGACGGCTCCTCCTACATTCTCCCCCTCTTGGGGCATATGGCGTCTCACCCCGCCCTTTGTTCTTCTGCATGCTCCTCCGTTGCCCTCATATTCATTTCTGGACGGGTTGGTGGGGATACTTTTTGGTCAGCGGCTCCGAGGCAACGGTCAGGGAGCGGAAGCGGCGTCCGGGTCACGGTACGGGGCTACTGTGCAAGACAATTCGCCGCCAGCCAGAGTCGGCGGACAGACAGCTCGCACCTGCACATGCACTGAACAAAATGAACAGAATTCGAAAGGCAGACGCACTTAGGCGCAGCAGCCCTAACCACAGTGGGCAGGCCGCCGTGCCCAAATGAAAGTGAAGATGCCCCGAAGTGAGTCGCCAATGCGGCGCCAGACATCCGCGGCCGACCTGCACAAGCCGAACGGCTGAGCGGCCGGGACCAGAAAACAGTGCGCGACAGCAGGGAAAACCAAAGGCTGTACAGGCGTTGTAGGCTGAACCACTCAGCGCCCAGTCCTCAGCGATCCGCATCACAGTGCCAGGGGGAGAGCCCAAAGCGCGACTGCGCGGTGCCGCCTGATGAATCGAGGAACTCCGCTGGCGTGGGGAGCGTCCCCGTCGGATGGTGATGGTCGGCACGCGTGGTGGCGGTGTCATCTGCGCTGCCTGCCTGGGGGGGTAGCTGCCGTGAAGCTCAGGTGGCCAGCCAAACCCAGACTGCCGCATGGCGCTTCCCCTGGGCCCTAGCGCCAACACGCACACACACACACACACCACGTGCCCCCCCTGGGCCGTGGTAGCCGTCGCTGGGGGTGTAGAGCAGGACCACGAGCAGCACGGACCACGGCGTGAACAGGGAGGGGGGGGTCTCAGCACCGACGCGTGTGCAGCGTCAGGCGAGCCCTGGAGCCACGGGCGGGGGACACCCACCGGGCCCGGGAGGGGAGAGGCAAGGGGACGCAACGCCTCACCCCACGGCCAGGCACCATGCTTCCGTGGGCCAGGGGCCGCGGTCTTCCTCTTGGATCGTCCCGGGGGTCGCAGCTAATCGCCGCTAGCACTTGCATTGAAGACTGGGGGGTCGCAGCTAATCGCCGCTAGGATCTATTCTACACATCGTGGGGGTCGCAGCTAATCGCCGCTGAGGTCTCTGTTGAATGTGTGCGAACGGGTGAAGGCCCACCGGGGCCGCAGCCAACGCAGAGGATGTGAGCCTGCAGCGAGGTGCGTCCTCGGAGGTGGGCCCCGGGGAGTCGCAGTTACTCGCCGCTGGGGCCGAAGCTGTCAAAACTGTGGCCTGAAATAACAGGCCGGTACGCTGGCGCGCAGGGGGGGTGCTTCTGCCGACGTCCCCCTGTCACCGAAGGGTGGGTGGCTGCCGCCGTTGGACAGCAAAGTGGGTAGTCTCGGGACCAGTCAGTCCAGCGGGCTGGTCCCCTGATGAGCAAGGGGGTGAAATGTCAGGGATGGGTCCACGCATCCAGTGTGGGCTGTCTAGCTATGCTGCGCCTTGGGTGAGATGTGGGGTGACCTCCGCCCCAGCGGGTGTTGCCCCAAGGTATTGCGGCCAAGGCCGGGCGCTGCGAGGTAAAACAAGCCCCGAAGGGGGGTAGCAGGTGGTGAGGGGGACGGGGCACGCTGGCCAGGAGGGCCGGTGGTGCGGTGACGGGTTGGCCTGGCCTTATCAGCCCTGGGCGTAAGAGTCCTCCCTAGCCCACCATCGGGCGCGCTTGTCCGTGTACCGGTCATCCCCCTGGGGGAGTACCGCTTACCCTTTCCAGTCCGTGTCCGTCCATGGGGCTTTCTGCTGGCCCCAGGAGTTCCACTCCTGCCAGTCCTGCCACTGGCCGGGGGTGGCTGAGCCGATGGCGCCTGCCCATCGGTCATGCGCGGCTGCAGCGGTGGCTGTTCTGCCCTCTGCTGTCCATGAGGCGGGTCTGCTGTTGCTGTCGTGATCGTGTTGAACGTGCGCACGGGAGTCGCGGTGCATGACCTTCATGTGCTTGTCCTTGACAGCAGCCCAGTTGACGTTGAGCCCTAGCTCGCTGTCCATCTTATAGGCGTCGTGCCCTGCGTCACTCCATGCCTCGAGGAATTCGTTGCACGACTGGACTGTGTTCAGTTTGGGGTTGTGCTTTTGGCTTCCGCTGAGCTCCTGTCCCAGGGCAGCCCTCTTCACCCATGCGGCCCAAATTCCATTGGACGCTCCTCCCAGCGTCTTTTGCAGGCGTATTATCTTATCCTGCACCGGCTCCTTCCTCGCAGCGTCTGCAGCTGCAACGGGACACATGTACATGGGGATGCCTCCCATGGGATCGTTTGGGTCTTCGCGGGGCGGCTGCGTGGTCCTTATGTCCTTCCAGGGCGCCTCGTAAATCTCCATTCGCGCGGGGTTGCCTCTTGGAGATTTGGAGGCACGACCTTCTCCGTCCTTGGTGTCATCCCACACGGGCCGTTGGGCGAATTCATGTCACAAGCGGGGGAGGTGGACCGCATTGGCGGGAGGGGCAGAAGAGCTGTATGGTATGGCGGCGCACGGGCGTCGATGCATGGGCGGCGGCGACGGCGATACGGCGCAACAATGGGCCGAATATGCACGGATACAAAGGCAGCGATGGCAAAGCGCTGCACCCTCACTGTCCTACCAGGAGGCTGGAAACACGGCTGCAATCGCGCGCGGAACGTGCGAAAACATCGCGCTAGATCATCGTACAGAGGGACAGCGTACCCAGCTGCCGGAGGGCCGACTGGACACGCTTGTGTCTGCACCTCTTTCCAGCGCTTGGCCCGAAAGTTTGCCGTTCAGGAAAAACGAAAAAAAAACAACGAAGCGACGCGTGAGGCAGCCCACAGCTGGGCAACACAAAACATGTGGGATCAAAGCTGGATGTCCGCTATGTCGGGCCGCTGGGGTAATTACGAGAACCCCTGGAGGTCTTTTTTTTGGGTGGGGGGGCTGCATCCCGGACTTCCGACGTGGGGTACGCGACTCGCTGACTCCGACCCGGCGCGCGCGCGGTGCCGGCGCGGGCCGGCTCGGTGGCGGAGCAGGCAGGCAAAGGGCGCGGCTGGCCGTGTGAGGCGACCACTCCGCCCCAGTCCAGCCTGTCACCTGGGGCAGGGGGAGCGGGGAGCAGGAGAAGATGACCAGATCGACCAGAGGGGGTAAGGGGCGGCGGGGGGGGATATAGGGGGGGAGTTGGGGGGAGAGATGGGGGGGAATTGGGGGGGGAATGTCGGGGGAGATGGGGGGGAACGAAGGGGGAAGGGGCGGAAAACTGGGCAGGGGGGAAAGAGGGAATGGGGAAGGGGGAGGAAGGATATGCTTTTCTTCCAGAGTTCCCCTGGCTGCGCTCCGATGCAACCGAAGCCTGATGGGTGAGCGCTGCAGCGGACGGGGTGGCGCCTCCTGCCACTTTCGCTCCCCGCCGCTATCCAGCGCCTTGCAGTGACTGGCGGACCTCGGCCGCTACGCTTGGCGAAAGCGGCACCGCAGGCCCGTCTGAAATCCCCACCTCTGTGGCCTGCAAGTTAGCGGGTTCACCCTCGCAAGCCAACAAAATTCCCTTGGCTCGCCCACTGGAGAAGGCCCCACAGTTGCCACAGAACAAGTAGCTGCCCGCACGCAAAAAGACATGCGGGCGCATAGGCGGCCTCGTGCTGGCCGCAGCAGCGGGGGCGAACCGAGAGCCGCAGGAGGGTGCTTGACGACAGGGTGTGCGGAGCAATCTCTGCTTGCTTGTCGCGCAAAATGCGCGCCTGCCACAACGTGTATTCTGGCACCGCCAGGCTTGTCGTTCCCACAGCAGGGCGTGAGGAGTGGCCCCAGGGGAAGTCCGAGCCTCACTCCGGCCCTGCGCCTCCCACGAAGCCAAGGGCACAAACCCAAGGACCCACATTCATCCTGCCCGCAGTGTCAAGAAATTTGCCAACACGCATGGTCACGCTTGCCACAAAAATACACATGTTGCAAACGTAAGTGGAGAGCTCGCTCCACACACCACACATATTTCAGCCACTGCGGCACGTCATCCAAATGGGCTCCGAGCTTGGCCTCTCTGTCGGCCCAGGCACCCCCGAGGACGTCGAACCTCTCGAGGCCCAAGAGGCCCGCGGGATCACGGCCCGAGTGGGCCTTAACCTTGAGCAGGTCCATGTCGCCTGGGGCCGCAAACGGATCCTGGACAATGTGCCACATCTGCCTGCAGAGGTCAGCATGCGGGCGTCGCCTGTGCGTGCACCACACCTCGCCTCTGGCAAAACCTTTCACTACGGTAGCGCTGGCAACTCCCACTCTTATCGGTGGTGCTGCATGCTGGAGGAGCTTCAAAAGGCCCACGAACTCCGCTCTGAGCACCGTGCCACATAATCTATGTCCGCCGAGGCTGCCTCTGCCAGCCTGCAAAACGACCCCCGTCAGCTCTCAGAAACGCGCAACCCCAACCATAGCTCTTGCACCCTGGGGGACCAACACCCGAGCCGTCGGAGTAGGCGCAGCCTGAGACGAGATGGTCGTCGCCGAATTCGCGATCACTCTCCTCATGGTGCTGCTGCAACTGCGTCAAAGGATTCTCGATCGGGTAAGGAGTCAGGCCACAAGCGAAGAGGAGCGAGGAAACGCCCGAGGTCCGAGCGCGCCGCACAATCGCTGGGAACTCCTCAGCCGCCTCCTTCCCGGCACCTTCAAGCGTTGGACGAGGGTAAAAACGGTGATGCTGCGTGCCTTGAGGGGCCTGGCAAAGCTGGCATTGTCTGGAGTCACTGTGTCCAGCCTTCCAGACCTTGTCCCGAGTCCAAACAAAATTGCATGCATAAGCCGAAACCGCCCGCTGCCGTCCAGGAGTGTCTTCCTCTGCCGCAGGACCGCGCGAATGGGCTCCAAAATCGGACGGGAAAACTGCACTTCCCTGGTCGTGGCCCAACCACAACTCTATTCGCCACAATAGGCTTGATGGCGCTGTGAGCGAGGCGTCCGAAGTCAAAGAGGCCTCCCGCGTGGGCGAGGAAGGTGCGATAATCTGGCCAGCGCCATCCGATCCTGTGGAGGGTGGCCAGGGCAGCTGATGCAGGGCCGCATACTTGTCTCCAGCGATTAGCCAGCGGCTGGGCGGCCAGCCTCTTGCTAGTCGACTTCCAGCCCGCGTCCAGGTCATCATCATCAGCATCATCATCATCATCATCATCATCATCATCATCAGCATCATCATCATCATCATCATCATCATCATCATCATCATCATCATCATCATCATCACCACCACCACCATCATCATCATCATCATCATCATCATCATCATCATCATCATCATCATCATCATCAGCATCATCATCATCATCAGTATCATCAGCATCATCATCATCAGTATCATCAGCATCATCATCATCATCATCATGCTCATCATCATCAGCATCATCAGCATCATCACCATCACAATCATCATCATCACCATCATCACCATCATCTTCATCATCATCTTCATCATCATCATCATCATCATCATCATCATCATCATCATGATCATCATCATCATCACCATCAGCATCATCAGCATCATCATCAGCATCAACATCAAGAACAGCCGCCGTCCAACGCACGAGGAATTTCGCACGAACATCTAACATGGGATCGGCAAGGCGCGGCCACAGTCGGAGCGCGCGGTCCTTGCCGATAGCGGCGCCACCGAGGCGGCTGGCAACAGGCTGTCTAGTACGGCTTAGCTTACTCGGGTCCATGCCTAGGCACGCCGAGCCACAGGCGTGGGAGGGGACCAGGCCACAGCGGACGACTTTAAAACTTACTGACGCTTCGCTTAGCGGACTCCTGGCCCGTGTGGTCGGCTGAAATAACCTCACACACGGCTCTTTGGCCGCGCCTGGCGCTGGCCCGTGGAGGACTGGGGCGACTGGCTGGAGGCACCCCCCCACCCTTCACACTTTGAAATCCGTCGGCTTGCCCGCCTGGCTTCCCCCCACGACGGCGCCACGCGGTACGACTCACCGACTTCACGTGGTCTTTCAATGCTCCGCGGCTATCGGCTGCTCCCCCCATCTTTCTACGACGATTCGTGGGCTTCAGCGGCGACACTGCACAGTGGACCGCGGGCCCTCGACGGATAGTGGCGAGCAATTGCTGCCTGTGAGTGAGTTTGCCCTCCCCTTTTTCTCTCGTCCTCTGCCCTGCCCTGCTCTTTCCTGCTCCTGCCGCGTTCCGGGCTACGTCCCTAGCAGCTGCAGGGGCACAGGCCCTGTGCCCGGCGTCTGTGTCGTACCCGCCTGCGAGCTGGCGCCTTCAGGGCGACTTCTCGCAGCTTCCGCTGGCTATCGCCCAGTGGTTCTTTGCATGTGCACTTGGCTTCGAGCTGTTGGGCCGCGTGGCATCTGCCTGCGCGTCCTGCTGCTCGGCCTTAATTTCCTGGCCCGTCTGGCTTCCGGCCGTGCTGGCGCCGTCATGGCGCTTCTCGTCGTCGTCCGCAGGCACTCGCCTTGTGGTCTTATGCGCCCTATTTTTCTGGCTCGGCCCCGCTGGCACTCGCCCAGTGGTCTTACGCATCCTTAATTATCTGGCTTTGCGCCCCACTGCCTATTGACACGCCCTCTGGACTTTTCCTTGCGGGCCGCAAATCAAAAAAGTACCCCCACCAGTCCCTGTGCCCCAGCCGAGACCGTCCCGCTTCCTGGATCTGTCCTTGGAGCCGCCAATCAAAAAGTATCCCAACCAGCTCTGGCGCCGCATTGGCGACTCACTTCGGGGCATCCTCACTTCACCGGGCACGGTGGCCTGCCCACTGTGGTCAGGGCTGCTGCGCCTGAGAGCGTCTGCCTTTCGAATTCTGTTCATTTTGTTCAGTGCACGATCAGGTGCGAGCTGTCTGTCCGCCGACTCTGGCAGGCGGCGAATTGTCTTGCAATTCGCCCCGTACCGTGACCCGGACGCCGCTTCCGTTCCCTGTCCGTTGCCTCGGAGCCGCTGACCAAAAAAGTATCCCAACCAGCTACCGCTATCCAGTTTACCGCCAGTTTTCACTCGCCGACTCGCCGTTGAGGTGCTGCGTGAGGCTCCGGCCCACCGCTTTAGGTTAATTTGTCTTTGCGCGCCCCGCTCTGACTGAACTTGCCGCTGGCGCGCTCGCCTGCGGCCGCTGACTAAAAAGTATCCCCACCAGCCCATCCAGAAACGATCAGCAGGGGAGTTGGTGAATCAGGGGCGCCCGTATTGAAGCTTAACATAGAAATCAGTGCGAGCTACGATGGTGCATCGATGAGGGGTGAAGGGTGTTTCGATGACTCGTAATGGCTGTTGCACTGACTTGTAGATTAAACTTGCGTGCGTTTCGAAACATGGAGCCATATTGGGGCTCTCTTGGGGTTCTCTTGGGGACCTCGTGGGGCCCTCCTGGAGCTCTTGCTCGGGGCTCTCTTGGGTTACTCTCAGGGCCTTCTTGGAGCCCTCTTGTGGCTTTTTGGGGGCGTATTGGGGCTCCTTGGGGGGGTCCGGGGGCCTTCTATGGGGCTGTTTTGGGATGCCTGAAGGGCCTCTTGGGGCCGTCTTGGACCCTATCGCTAAAAAAGACGGGGGCTCTTAGTTCCTGCCCCCCCTCGGAAACCCAAAAATGCCGTCCTGGGGCTGTTCTGGCCCGCTCTTGGAACGCTCTTGGGCGCTTCGGGGGCCGTATCGGGGCCCTCTTGGACCCCTCTTGGAGCTATCTTGGTCTGTTTCTGGGCCATCTTGAGGCCTGGCCGCCCAGCGCCGGCAAGCCCGACGCGCCCCAAGGGCCGCGGCAAGGACCAGACCCGACTGCAGGACCTGGACGACGTCGAGAGACTGGCAGGCCTTCATCCTCGATCTGCTCGGCGCAGTAGCTGATGGCGCCCCCCAGCTCCTCCGACACCGCGGCGCGGCCCGCGCGCCGCTGGAGGCGCGGGGCGCCGACGAACAGATTGACGCACGTGCGCGGCCACCTCCGAGCGATGCGGTCGACCGCGCGTATGATAACCATCTGGAGCGCCTTCGTGTCCGCGGAGCTGCCTGCGACCACCGCGGAGTAGGTGGCCCCCGCGTGGTTGCTGAGAACGTCATCCGCGACCTCCTAAAGCTTGTGCATGGAGGTGTGCTCAAAGGCCCTCTCGATGTCCAGGACCCCCGCGGCGGCGGCGATGCCCCCGGCAATATCCGCGCCCTCGTCGACCGGCATCTGGTGCGAGATTGCATCCTCGGCACCTCCAACTGGCGAAGCTGCATCATATGTTATTTTGACCACGCCCCCTCTGGCGCAGAGCAGCGGTTCATGTGCCCTTTCAGCGACTCTGATAGGCGCAGGGAGGTGCCCCAACGGCCCGGTGCCACCCTTGGGCTTGGAAAGAAACATGATGTAACGAACCTGTGGCGGCCATTGCGCTCTGCGGGATACACAGTGCAGGAAATCCACCAGATACTGCATCGCACCATCTGAGAGCTAATTACACCATCTAGGATGTCAGTCGTCAGCGCCGACGCCCGCGCGAGGCTTGCAAGCCCTGCAGATGGCTCTGAGCCTAGGCACACTGGGGCCGGCGATATCTGACAACGCACTCCCACCGTGCTCAAGATCCCCCCTTGGGCGGCGAGGCAGGCCTGCGCTGATGTCATCGTGGCTGGTCCACGCGTCGAACCAGTCCTTGGCCTCCGCGCCCGCGGCGACCTGCGGGCCCTCCAAATGGTAGGTGGCGTGGCCTCGCTTCTCGGCCGCGCTGGGGGAAGTCTGCCGCCTGGTGAGCCCGCGTGCGAAACCTGCCCCGTCGCGCGGTGCATCCTGGAGTCGAGCTCTCCACTTCCTGGCCCGCTCTCTAGCCTGCTGCCACTCGACATTCCTGGCATTGGCCTGGGCTTCACGCTGAAGCTCCATGATGGGGTAGATCTCGCGCTGCAGGGCGTCGCGCGTGATTCTGACATGCGCGAACGCGATTAGGCTCAATCGCATCTCAGCTGCACGTTCTGCCAGCGGTGGGACCCATCGGTCGCCCGCAACGATGCGCCGCCGAAGGCGCTGCCATCGCGCGCCAAACTTACCCCGGGACCCCGTGGATAGGGCCGCCTGTGCCAAGTAGACCACGTCGCTGGCACGCGACGCAACCCACCTCCAGCAGCGCGAAAGGACACCCCATGGGTCGGCCGCGCGGTCGCGGCCAGGCAAGTGGCGGGCGGACCCGGCCAACTAGGGCGCCCCCCCCGTCCGCAGTTGCCCCCCGGGCGCTGCGAGCGACGCCTGCTGTGCTCCTTTTAAAAAACCTTTCATTTAGCAAACCTCTCTCTGTCATCCCACTGATGGTCAACTCCAAACTCTGGCCAGTCAGGTGGCCGCTCACGACGCCCAATCAGCAAGCGCTCGGGGAGACGCTTGGGCTCGGCTAGCCCCCAGCCGCGCCCGACGCGGATCCGCGAATCGAGAATTGCTTGCATGGGGGGCCGGGGGCACGTCGAGCTGCCAAGCGCAAGAGGCGCGCGAGGAAGAGGAAACGATGGCGCGATCGACGACGAAGCAGTCGATCGCCCTTCCTCCGCCCGCGCCGGCGCAAGCGACCCGGCAAGGGCACCGCGGGCGCCCCCGCGACATCCTCCAGCCACCCTGCACATTCGAGAGAGGTGGTACTGCAATGGAAATGGGCCTGCAGGACCCATGGCGCACCGCAATTGAAGATGAGGCCTCAGAATGCATCCAACAGCGACAGGTAGGTCACGCATGGCCCATCCTTCTTTGGTCCAGAAATACGCCGAGGTGAGCATCAATCCTCCCCCCTGGCCTGCTCGGGCCCATCGACCAGCGACCCCCCCTGCCAAGCTTGGCAGCGAGCAGTCGCAACCGTTCATGCGGCCCAGGATCGCAATACCGATGATCCACGGGGCCTAAGGCTCCGCTCCTGCACTGCGCCCTCCGCCAGGCCCCTCTGCGGAGGTGGCGAAGGCGGCGATCGAGTTCCTCTCGTCGCATGCGGCCCCCTGCCCCTGCCCCCGCCCAGTCGGCAGATAGGCGCAGCTCCTGCGCAGAGAGAATATGGCATGGCGCCAGGTCCTGTGCCTCGCCCGCGTAGTCGATGGCCGTGTATCAGGCATTAGCGTCGAGCCCAGCAGACTGCAATCCTGGCATCTGATGGGGCCCCTCGCGCCGCCTCTGGCACGGCGGCGCGCGCGGCTTAGGGCCCGGCCCGGTGCCCGGCTGCGCGGCCGCCACGGCGGCGGCGGCGCGCCACCGCGCCTCGCGGGCCAGCCCAGCAGCATCGCCGCCAACATCAATTATCAGCACCACTCGCCGAGCCAGCGGCCCCCGCTCCCGACGACGCTGGCTGCGCAGCCTGGAGAGCGGCGGGCTCCCCAAGGCGGGAGGCGGCAGCACCGTCGGGAGCGGTCGGGGCCGGGGGCTGCGCGTCGGCCTCGTCCGATGCGCGGCAACGCTTAACCTGGGGGCGCGCCCGCGGCTCGCCCAGCTCGCGGCGCCTGCGATGCAGTTCCTCGGCGGTGGCCGCGGGCGCCCATCTGGCGGCCGCCTTGAGCTCCTTGGCGGGGGCAGCCTTGCGGGGCCCCCACTGCTTCTTCTCATTGACGTCCAGCTCGAGGCCCTCGGCGGAAAAGGCATCGCCCGCTTCCAGGTCCAGCTGGCCAAGCTCCTCTGCCAAGAGCTCGGCGAGGTTGAACGCTGGCTGTCACTGGGGCGGATGCGGGACAGGCTGTGGCCCGCTCGCAGCTGATGGTGGCCAGCGTGTCGCTGACCTGTTTCCTGGCCCCGGCGAGAGCTTCGGCGGCGTCGGAGGTCCGCTGCCGGCACTCGTGGTGCCAGTTGATTGCCTCCTGCTCCGAGGTGACGGCCTTCTCGAGTGCCTGGCTGGCGCGCTTCCCGACCGCCATGAGCTTCTGGTACTAGGAGCGCGGGGACTCTGGCTGCTCCTCGGGCTGTGCCCGTACCTTCTTCCTAAAGTCCTGGAGGGCGATCTGATTGGCGGGGTGGGCGTTGCTCTCCAGGGCCTGGAGCAGGTCCCCCAAGGCAGGGGTGACAGCCGCATTTTCGTCGTGCTCAGCTTCCCCTCGATTCTTGCGAGATTTGCCCTGCCCGCTCTCGCGCCAAGGTTCCCAGGCGCCGCTGGCCTCAGGCCATTGGGCCTTAAGGATTTCGAGCTAGGCCGAGCACTTATAGCACACGTCGTGACCACCCCAGGACCACGTGAAGCCACACTGCGTGCACTTCGTATAACCATGTTGTTGCTTACCCATGGACAGGACACCGAGTCTTCTCCACGGGCACTGGTACGATGCGTCTGGGTGGGGCTGACCACTCGACGCTCGCCCTGTGGCTGACCAGGGGAAGGATGATTGCTTGCCGCGGACTAGAGGTATTCATGTGGCCCGCTGCGAACCTCAAAAACTTGAGCCAAAATTGCAATGGGAGAAACCGAAAAGGGGGAAGTTGAAAGGGAAACGGGAAGAACTTATAGGAACATGAAAGGGTGGAGCGGAAGGAGAGACAGCGAGAGAGAGAGAGAGACACGCACACACAGAGGGAGAGAGAGAGAGAGGGGGGGAGAGAGAGAGAGAGAGATAAAGCGAACAAAACACAAAAACATAGAGCCAGAGAAAGAGACACCGAACCAGAAAAAACAGGGATAGAGAGAGAGAGAGAGTAACAAATGAACAAGATAAATAAACAACAGAGAGATAGCGCACGTCGATGCGGACGATGCCTGGGCGCCGCCCAATCTGGCGAGGCCCGCGCCCAGCGGTTGAAGCTGGTGCACAGCGAATTGGAGCGAGGGGTGAGAGATGCCCTCGGCGGTGCGAGAACAAGCGCAGTAGGCCAGCTGACACGGGCGTCGAGCCCCGAGCCTCGCAGCGGGACTGGGGAACCCGTGGATGGTGGGGGGCCGCAGTTGGACAGCACAGTGGCATTGATGCTTCTACGCCCACGAGGCGGACCCCAGCGATGTACCCCCCACAAGTCCCGCCCGTCTCCCACTGCCACCTTGCCCGGCTAGCGCGAGGGGCGTGGCACAAGAGCTCGGGGTGAAACAGGTCGAGGCGCTAGGGGACCGAAGGCTGGCTCGGCCCACTGCCGCTCGCGTGGGCGAGAGCAGTGAAGAGCGCTTGAACGTCGGCCGAAAGGCTGCTTGCGTCTGAAGCTCAGCGAGCCGCACTTGGAGCGAAGTCTGAGCGAGAGCGTCACGCCATTGCCAGGACCCGTTGTTCGAGGGCCGTCATGCTCGTGTGGTCATGGGGCGGTGGGCGTGATGCGGAACGGGGCCGTCGGCCTCGAACGTTTGTCCTGAGAGCTTCTGCGGGCTGTGGGCCTTGGATGGGCGTGGAACCGCTGCCGCTGGGGGCACGGCGGCGCCCGCGGCTGGGCGGGGACCGTGGACACGAGCGACCCGTGGTAGCTCGGGAGGAGCGCCTGACCCCGATGCAGGGGGTCGTGATCAGTGGGGTGAGAGAAAACGAGAGATGGAGAGAGAGAGAGAGGAAGAGAGAACGAGAGAGAGAGAGAGAGAACACAAAAAGTGAGCGAGAACGAGAAAGATAGAGAGAGAGTGTGGAAATAAATACAGAGAGAAAGAGAGAGAGAGAGAACAAAAAAGAGCGGAATATAAATAACGAAAGAGAGAGAGAGAGAGAGAGAAAGCGATAAAGAGAGAGAGAGAGAGAGCAGCAGCAGCAGCAGTAGCAGCAGCAGCAGCAGCAGAAGCATCAGCAGCAGGGGAAGGCAAGCTGTGGCGACGAGGGCCTCCCAGGAGGCCCAACAGGCGAGCACGAGGGAAGGGTAGCGGTATCGGCACCAATCGCTCCTCCAACATCCCTCCCCCTATCATTGCTGCCGAGGCGGGGGGACCCGAGTGGGCGCGCAGCATCAGCGGCAGGCGGGGCCGAGCGGGGCGGCAGCTCGCCGCCAGTCGCATCGGTCCGCCCGGCGTGGCGGACAACGCACGCATCTTGGCCTGGGTGGACGGCCTGCGCCCGCGCGGGGGCGCGGCCGCGCTGGCCTCCTCCTCCTCCTCCTCCTCCTCCTCGGCCTCTTCCTCCTCCTCCTCCTCCTCCTCCTCCTCCTCCTACTCCTCCTCCTCCTCGGCCTGCTCATCGGCCTGCTCCAACTCGGCTCGGCCTGCTCAGCCTCCTCCTCCTCCTCATATTGCTCCTCCTGCGCCTCCTCCTCGGCCTGCTCCATCTCGGCCTGCTCAGCCCCCTCATCTTCCTCCTCCATCCGTTTTACCCCGAAATATCTCCTGACCGTCCAACTCCCAGACGTGTCGATAGGGCAGGCTGCGTGTTCCGTCTGAGACTTCCTCACCAGCTACGATCCTGCAACTTGAAAGCTGCACCAGTTTACCGGATGGAGGACGGGTCGCACAATGTGGTCCTCGCCTAAGCGCTGCGCACACTCGTCTTAAATATTTGCAGCAAATTCACGGATGGAGGGTGAGTTGTTTCCTAAATGTGGCTCCCGCCTGCGCCGCGCATATTCGTCGTAAAAGTTTGTTTCCAAATGATCGTTCTCGCCCTAGCGCCGCGCACACTCGTCTTACGAATTCGCAACAGCTTCAAGGATGGAGGGCGGGTCGTGTTTCGAAATGTGGCTCTATCATTAGCGCTGCGCACATTCTTTCTGAAAGTTTGCACAAGCTTCATACATGGATGGCGGTTCCTTTTCAACATGTGATTGTCGCCTTAGCGCCGCGCACAGTTGTCCTAACAATGTACAGCTGTGCTCAAGGGTTCGTGTGGTTGAAATCCGAGAATCTGTGTGGTGGCACGATTTAGAATTGATGGGATGCAACAGTCATGTTGATTTTGCGGAGCAAAGTCCAGGGAATAATGGTATGGCATACATTAAGATTGCCAGGGCGAAACAGTCGCGTTGACTCGCGGCGTAAAGTCCCAGGAATGGTGTTTTGGCAAGTGGTTGCATGTGTCTGTTCAGACGGTTGATGGACGTCCAAATGCAGACTTCAATCAAACCTTGACACGACCAGGGTACTCGCGAACGTTAGCCCGTGACACACAATGGCGCACATCACATAAAGTTACACGACGCGCGCATCGCCATCTGGAAATACAAAACTATAAGTGGTTGCTTCAGCTCCACAGCACCAGCGTCAGTGCTCTATGAAGTCGTCGCGGGCACGCTGTCACAACTCAAACACCTTGGAAGCGTCAAGCACGCCCCTGTCTGCGATGCGTGTCACACGGGGGGAACCATCATCCAGACACGCCACGGTATCCTGAATCCGCTGCCGCGCCTTGAAGCACGAGTTGGAGTGTCCGCAGGTCCCTTCAATCCTCCACCAGCTATCCAGAATGAATATGGGCAAGACTCAGGCGCCAAATTCCCGAATTCCCTGGGATTCCCACCTGTTCCCGCTGTCAGTGTTTCGGGCCAGGGCGCCCCAAGATGGGCGAAACAGGGTCCCAAAAGGCCCCTTAGAAAGTCCAAAAGGTTCCCGAGTCGGACCAAAAGTGCTCCAAGGTGCCCAAGATCCCAAGAGGGCCCCAAGAGGCCTCACAATATGGCCCGAAGAGACCAGTGTGGCCCCAAGAGGCCTCACAATAGAGCCTCACAGTAGGGCCTCACAATAGGACCTCAAGAGGCCTCACAATAAAGCCTCAAAATCGAGCCTCACAATAGGGCCCCAAGAGGCCTCACAATATTATGGAAGGATTCGGACGTTCTCGCCTTCTCGGCCTTTCGGCGCTCCGAGACGGCCCAGGAGGCCTCAAGGAAGGCGCCCAAGATGGTCCAAGATGACGTCATGATTGCCCGAGGTAGCTCAAGACGGCCTCTAAGATAGCACAATCTAGTCGAAAATGGCTCAAGATGGCTTCAAGGATATCTATCTCAAAGGTCTCAAGATCGCCCCAAGAAGGCTCCAAGTGGCCGCCGAACCTCCCAAAGAGACCACTATGGTGTAAAGCTACATATTGTGTTTAGGTGATGATTCTCCTGCCCCACCTCTCTCGGCCCCCTGGCCACCTGGCGCGCTCTTGGGCGGTCACGCCGCAATACCCCTGTGACTGCCAGCCATCTGGCTGCGTTGCTCCCGCCTCCGCACGGCTCAGTGCTGTGCCTACTCCTCGGCGCGCCGCAGTACCTCTGCCGTTCGTGGTGTCCCACTGCGCCCGCCCGCCAGCTCCAGCTGCTGGCAGCCACCCTCCCGCCACCCCTGCCACCGTGGTTTGCCACGGCCGCCCACCGCGCTCTCGCCCTGGGCGCCTGGCTGCTGCTGACCCCCCCGGCTGCTCCTCGTCGAACTCTTCGACGTCTGAGCGTCCCTTCTTCCTCTCGGCCGCCCCCCCCCTCTTTGCCCGCCGCCAATTCGCTAATTAGTGTCCGTTTCTAGCTTCTCGCCGGAGCGGAGTTTGCCGCCTCGCCGCTGAAAAAAAAGTTTAGGTAATGATTGCCTTCTCGCCTGTTCACTTCCAATGGGCCTCGGAGGCCTCATGACGGCTCTGGGAACGCCCAGAGAGCCCCGAGAGGGGCACAGAGAGTGTCCAGGACGCCCCCCAAAGCGCCCAAGAGGGCTCCAAAACATTATCATTCGGGCTGCGACGATGGTGGCTTCGCCCCCGCTTCATCACAAGATCTTTGAAAACCAATCTAAGACATGGAAGGACCTTGAACGCCCGCGCTGATGCAACCGCCGCGCCGAGGAGGCACGAGCCTTTCGCCGGAAGCCTCTGAGAGCCGCTGGAGACCTCCACAGAGCCCCAGAACTCTCCACGAAGCCCCCGGCGGTCTCCAGAACCCCAAGACCGTCAAAAAACCTCGATCCTCCCCGAGGTGGTCTGTGACCCTCCCCACGAAGCGGTGGCTGCCATGGGGCTCTGGCCCAAAAATTGACCCGGGCTTCTCCAGTGAGGCCCAGATGGCCTCCAGAGCACCTCAGCTCGAGGCCGAGAAGGACCGAGGGGCGCCGAATTGTCTCAAGAAAGCTGGGGGCACCCTGGGCCAACACCACCTCTGCCGGGTCGGGCGACAGAGGAGAATAGCGAAGGGGGCGTTGGCGAGTTAGCTGGATGCAATTCGTTTCCCTGGCGCCTACCAGAGCCGGGAGCGGGCATCGAGGAAAGGGCCTGGCGAGAGAGAAAATGAAAGAGAAAGAGAAAGCCGAAGCCGTGCACCCTAGAGGTGCATTGGCAAACTTGTGACACTGCCGGCAACTCTGCTGTGGAAGGGTGGGAAAGTGGGGTAAAAGCAGCCACGAAGACGACGAGGGTGGGGAGGGGGCGAGACAGAAGCAAGGCATGGGAGAAGACAGACACATGATTAGGTCAGGTCCTGCCTGTATGCCCACGGGGGCGCGGCCACTCAGGACTCAGGCGAAGAAACTACAGCAGGGCGAAGTGGACTGAACAGACAAACGCGCGCCAGGCGGCGCATTAGCCACTCGTCGTCAGTAGACGTCCTCGAAGGAACCAAGGTGAAATTGCGAAATTGAGTCCTCGTATTTCAGGGTACCAGCAGATCTCTGAACAGGCCTGAAAGCTCCCGCAGGGCCATGGCAGGGACTGAAGGCGAGGGGCAAGGGGAAAGAGAGCATGTCAAGCAATACTGAGACATGGAAGCAAACCTCAAAGAAAGGCAAAGCAACTTGGATGTCCTGACTCTGATTCTCGGCAGTGGGCAAGGGAGAGAGGAGGGGGAGACAGAGAGAGGGTGGCAAAAACATGAACGGAAACACTGGGGAACAACCCAGCAGACTTCGTGACCCCCCCCTCTCCCGGACCCTTCCCCCCTCCCCCTCTCGTTTGGCCCCGAACCTCTGGCAACCTCCGACCTCCGACCCCCCGCCCCTTCCCAGGGGCAGTCCCTTCGCCCCGCGCACGGCCCCGAGGGGCCCAGACCGAGGAGAAGCAGCCCGCTGCAGACACCAGCCAACAAGAATGGCCCTCAGAGCACTGGCAGCCCGGTGCGCGCAGGGGCCGCGCGGCGGCAGGCGGGCACGGGCCCGAGGCTGCCGACGGGGTCCCCGGGCCGGGCGCCCATGCCCGCGCTCGCCACGGAGGACGCGGCGCCTCGACGCCGCAGGCCGCGGGGGGAGGGACGGCCTGACACGGCCGCGCGAGGCCGTCGGCACGGCCCCGGACCTGCTCGCGCCTCGCAAAAATCACGACGGAGGGTTTGGGGCCGTGTTCGGCCTCTCCTTCTCCTTTCTCCTCCTCCCCCCTCTCCTCCTCCTCCTCCTCCTCCTCCTCCTCCTCCTCCTCCTCCTCCTCCTCCTCCTCCTCCTCCTCCTCCTGCTCCTCCTAGTCGCTGTTTGAGGTGCCCAAAAGTTGACCGACCGCACCTCACGTACAATTGTACACCAGCGATTTTGCGCCCTCACCCACAGGCTTCGGGGGCAGGGGGGACTGGGGGGCCCGCATGGCGAGTCCGTGCGCCTAGGCATGAGAATCTGCTACTACAACCCCCAGGAGGCAGCGAGCATCGAACGACTAGAGGACATCAGTGCCGAACTACACAGTTGGGACGTTATCCTCCTCAGTGGCACATGTAGATGGGCGGGAGCAGAAGCAGTGCAGCGACACTATCTCCCTAATCACTACGTGTTACAATTCGGTGCCCGCAAAGGGAAGTGGATCAACAAAAGCTGCGGCTTAGCGATCCTCATCAGCCAGAGAATCGACGAGCGCAGCCTACGAGAGATCTACATTCCACCGACCAGCCTCCAGGGACGGGTTGCAGGAATTCGCCTCTCGACTAGCCAATACGACTACGTACTCTTTGTCTACTACTACGCCCCCACTCACCTCTCGTACTACGTGCCACTAGCAGACGCTATAACTAAATGGTTAGAGCAGTGTGTCGACCGAGTAGGCAGCCGTACGACGATCGTGATGGGCGGTGATGTGAACAGCGACTTTGGTTGCCAGCGAGACACCGACGGGACCATCGTGCGAAGCAGAGGACCGACGGTAGGAGACAGGGAGCCCAGGATTGAGAACTCCAACGGCACGAGCCTCAGGACCCTGTGTCAGACCAGCGACCTTAGTATTGCTACTACTTACCACATCGCTGAACCCACCTTCTACGGGCATTCAGGTTATAACAGCCGTATCGACCACATCGTTGTACCTACCTACAGGGGCCCTGGGACTCATAAAAAGGTGCGAGGTCCTCCATCGGTCTGGTAAAAGGCTCCAAAAAGTAAAAGTACGAGGACACAGGGACCACCTCCCCATCGGCCTCACCCTCCTCGCCTCCACTACCACCACCTCCTTCCCCACGCGCGCCCGCCTACAACAGGGACTGTGCAGGGACGGCCTCATGGAATGCTTACGCAGCGGCCACAAGAGGGAGATGCTGCTCACCGAACTCGACAAGGAGGTGGAGGAGGTGGGTGGGGAGCAGTGGGAGAGAGCACTGGGAGCAGCGACGCCAGACGAGACCTGGGACCTTTTGGGGGGAGCGGCACGTGCGGCCATGCTCAGGACCTTCGGAAAAAAAACGGCTCTCCCGACGAGATCGACCAGCTTACGAAGCGAGCCAAGCAACACCGACTCGAAGTCCTTAGGCAACGAAGAGCACTGCGACAGAGCCTCACTCCAGAACAGTGTGCCGACGACTACGACAGGGTACAAAACGAGCTGAAAGAGATCACAGCTGCGCTGAAGCAGGCCCGAGAAGGTGTCGAGAAACAAAGAAGGGCGCTCCTGGTCGAACGCATATGGGAGGCCTACGAAAAACGGAACCTCGCCGAAATGCACCGACTACGTATACAGTACCAAAGGAATGGGCGCGGGCCAAAAAAAAAGGTACTACCGATCAGCCCGAACTCACTGGCCACGCGACTACTGGTATCAGGAGCTTGCCCACCCAGCCTTGGAAGGGGGGCTAGGAGCGCGGCCCATCGATAGGGACGAGGAGCGAGCAGTACATGAGACTTACGTCCAGGAACACATCGACCGACTGCCGATCGACCACGATTTACTTTTTCAAGTCGAGGCGGACAAGCGAGCGATGCGCAGGTACTGTCAGAGAGCTGGCAAGCGACGGGCCTGGCCGCCTTGGGGCATCCCGACCGAAATGACATGGTTGATGATCGACCCCACCCTCCACCTTCAGGACCCAGCAGAGCTCAGCAAGCGCCTAGAAGAAAAGCGAGTTGCAGCTGCAGAGAAGAGAGGGGACGAAGACGAGCTTGCACACTACACGACATTGGGACGATGCAAAAAGGGGAGGGAACTGCTCCGACGGATGGGGTGGACTGACGGTACTAGGTTGGGTCGTGTGCCGGCGGCGACGGATGGGACAGAAGGAGCCGCCCGGGAGCAGCAATCTTACTCAGTGGGGAGGGGCAGGTTTGCAGGGGTAGGTGCTGACAAGATTGCAGATCACAGCAAAGGATACATGAAGTACCTTGATCAATTTCTTGCACAGTGCCGAAGCTGTCAGGTGACTCCCTTGGACTGGCATCGATCACAAGCATTCCCAGCAGAAAAGCACAACAACAAAGAGGGGATACTAGGGAAGCGTATACTACACGTGTACGATTCTTTCGGAATGGCTTGGCACTCAGGCATTCACTTACGTGGCTCACCCCCAACACATGCACCCTGGGCCCAAGGAGGCCTTCCGCACCGCTGCCGTGAAAACGCCATCCTCTGTGTACAAGCGGCCCAATGGAGAGCCGCCCAAGGGGGGGTGAGCACAATCACCACCAACTACGACGGCACCAACGCGTTCGCAGCCACCAACCGAGCTCTACTAAGAGCGGTGGCATTCAGGCAAGCCCACGAGCATGATCAGCGCTTTGCCATGGCAGCCATTGACCACTCCACCCTGACGCTCGAAGCTGCCGACGGAGCCGTCGAAGCGGAGAGCACCACTGGTGCTCAAATGGGCTTCACCCTCTGCCCGCGGCAATTCAACGATGCATACAACCTGTACGTCACCAAATGGTGGGAACAAGGCCGCACAGACCCAGACCAAATTATCCACGACACGACTAACCCAGTCGCAGGCAACACCCACGACTTATCCCTCAACACGTTCATGGACGATATCACTTATGTGCGGACGATCCTACCTACATCGACGGCTGGCGATATTGAACAACAACTCAACAACAACACTGAACGCCTTTCCCAAACAATTGCAGCAGGAGGATGGGGACTCAACAACGCCAAGACCAATCACCTACTATATTTAGTAGGGCAAGGCTGTTACGGGAAGACCAGACAACTCAGACGCAGCAAAACACTGCAGGGTCAGGCGTTGAGGGAGATGCGTGTACTTGGCCCTTACCTACCAGCTGGTCAGGGCATCACAGGCGAGGTCGTGCGGCGTATCGCAGCCATCCGCGTCGCATGGCGACAATGCGGGATCTTTTGGACCTCTAAGGTACCCCGACAAATAAAACGCATGATGTTCATGGCTTTCGTCGTAGGTGCGGCCTTCAGCGGATTGCCAGCGTTAGTTCTGACAGAGACCCACACAACGGCAATCGACAGTGTACTAGGCAAATACCTACGGACGCTAGCGGGAGGAGCCATGTCGTGGACCAGAGCGGATGGGACCGTGAGATGCAACAACTTGCGACAGGTGTTCAGATATTGGAGGCTCGAGCGCACATCCGTATCCTTACTTGTGCGACGTTTGCGATGGTACCAGAACTGGTCTAGGCACCCTTGGGAGCACGGAGCAGTGATCGCAGCGGTTTTTGGGACATCCAGACTCGACGCGGCTCAGGGTATTCAGCGACTCGAAGGGCAGGGATTTGTGGGACCCTCCTCCACCCCGTGGGCACAGCAGTTTGCAGCCGACATGCAGGCGATAGCAAAGGTTGACGAGAGCATGGGATGGTATGCAGACAGGGACTCAGACCTTGCCATATTCGAACAGGGGAGTGCGGAATAAAAAAATTGGCTGCAAACAGACCCATCAATATTGTACAGTTACGAGCGAAACTGGGACGTGCTTACGACACGAAATACGACGCTGCAGGAGGGGGAGGGCAAGGAGGAGGAGGAGTCACTAAAACCCTACTGGTGCGATCATACGACGGCGGGCGAAAACGGCACGGAACAGAGGTGTGGCATGCGCTTTACGACATGCGCAGCACTAGCTGGGCATCGCCGAGAGTCCCACAACATCCGACCAGTGGTGGCGTCCGTAATCGTCAACAACCAGTGCCCCTGGTGCAAGAGCACATTTATTAATCGTAAGGTATGTGTCGACCATGCGACCAGGGCTGTACACGGCCACGGCATTTGCCACCAAGACAGGTCGATGTGGTCCCACCCTATCTCCGACCCCAGCTCCCTCACCTGCCCGATCTGTAACCACGAGGCTCAAACTCTCGAGGAGTATCACGCACACATTCGCGAGCACATTGCAGGGCCAGAGTCGATCAGAGCGGCACGGGGTGAGGGAGCTCATGTTGCACGGGGGCCACGGCGACTGGCGCATCAGGGCCAGCGCGAAGAGAGGAGGGGGCGCAGCAGAGGGGCAGCCGCCCACGCAGCGCCCGCACCTCGGCGGCGGCGGAGTCGGCTCGTCAGACACACCGCAGTCGCAGCAGCCGCCCCAGCAGCCGCCCCCCACACAGCGCCGAGGAGGAGGCGGTCGAGGACCCCCAGGAGGAGGCCGGTGGTGGTGGCGGCGGCGGCCAGGTGGAGCTGCGGGACCAGCTGAGATCGCTTCAGAGGCTCACCCTCCAGAACTCGAACGAGATTCGCAACTTCTTGCATCTCACGGGAGGGTTCTGGCTGACGCCGCTCGAGCCAGAATGGGTGCAGGCGCCGATGGAGACAAGCAAAGAGTACGGACGGAAGGTGAAGCAGTTGGGCAAGGGGCACGGCCTCGGCCCACCGCACGGCCAGGTCGCAGCGAGCCTGGTCGAGGAGATCGTGGCGGTGCTCGATTCGGAGGAGCAGAAGCTCGACGCGTCCCTCCTCCACGTGAGGCAGCTCTTGAAAGAGTTCATGAGCCAGCTCGACGAACCCTGGGGACCGATCTTCATCACGGAGGTCTTCCTGCAGTGCAAGATCCAGGAGGCGTACAACAAGTCGGG